ACATTAACTATCTATGTTTATTAAGACTACAGCATTCTTCAATAAACTTGCTCAAAATTATAATAGACTAAAAGTGAAAAGAAGTTCTTTAAATAATGACCTTTTAACCTCAAACTATTCGATGAAAAAAATGATGTATCAAATATGCAAATATTGCTAAATACCACATCGAGTTCAAATAAGGGCCGGTTAGATATTCTGGCAGTACATTTAAAATTATTCCTTACTTTTACCTTCTCTGAAACAACACTATGAAAAAATTCTCAAAATAACATCACATGTTCCAAAAATATATGTATATGGACTAGCTACTATATTGAAGTCCACAATTTTTTTCAATAGATAGCTTTCGTAAGCTGGATCTCGCATAGTATTAGTTGCTTACGAGTCACGCTATAAGTCGTTGGAAGGATAAAAAGTCATGCTATAAAAACTTTTCATACAGAACTCACGGCTAAACTCTTAATTCGGAACTGAAATATCCACAATTAGCTAAAGACGGCTAAAGGAAGCAATCGCCCAGAAGCAGAATAGCAGAGGACTTGTGTTTCATCCGGACAAAGCTAAGTCGCCCATATCGATAGTGACTCGTGAGAAGCTACGAGAGCTTGGTTGGTAGGTTGTTAACATATGCATTCACCTAAAAGTCCGGAAACAAGTGTTTACTATCTGTTGCTGTCTATAGCGAATGATTTTGCAAGTGATAAATCCAACACAAAAGAAGCTTGTGAAAATCAATTGTCTCAGTTTTTTACCAAAAACGAACTACGGTTTCTTCAAAATGCCAACAAGTTTTCGAACAAAACGCTGAATATTATAATTTTCTTTTTACTGGACCAATTATTTTAAAAAATGCCACACTCTAAATATATGAGACGTTTTAACGGTTTCTATCAACCAAAACCAACTACATTTAACTTAATTAAATCATATAAAAATGTGTTGCAAATAAACTACACCGACCCATGGCAATTTATTTATGATTAATGGCCGCTAATGCGAACCGTTTTAGAGCGCATTAGTTATACTTCGGATTTCACTCTCTACACTTGGCAATTTACTTAGTATTAAATGCACACAATATGTCTCAATTACATTTATGGCTAGTTAATGTTGCATTAAGACAATGAGACGGCGTGGTTGTAAGCACACACACACATGGATGTTTGAATATGCAAGTGCATGTGTGCGTAGATCGGACCGTCGTCTGGCTGAGTTTGTGGGCCGCACAATGGACCGGAAATTGTTATACAACGAGCGCTCAACTTGCTTATCGACGAAGCCGCCGCAATCGTAAAATTCACTTGGAGCATACACGACTTGCAACAAACACAGTTGTATGCAGTGTTTGCATAAATGAGGCTGGCTTACAATGTGTATGTATGTATGTATATGTGGCCTATGTGTACGTGTGTGTGTTTGTGAATTTTGCATAGATTTTCGATTTATATGCATAATGCCCAAATGCGTTTAATGAAAAACAATTCGTCTGCGTGTTTTTATTATCTCACCTCAGCTAACATGTGTTAAGCAATAAAATCGCAGCCAATTACACATCAACTACTATCCTACGCAATTTGTGTGTGCTTTTACATTTCCATATACTTGTACATAAATGCAGATTGAGTTTTGCTATTTTTTATTAGAAAATTTGCGTTTCATTTATATATTTTTTTCTTTCGAACTATTTATTGACATTGACGAAGGCTGTACAGTGTTTCGAGTGGTTTACGTGTGCCGAGAAAATGTTTACGTATAATAAATGTTTTTTGAGAGGTGTGAAGTTTTAATTAAAAATAAAATCCAAAAGAAATAATGGAATTGTATATACTTAAAATGAAACGCAGTTAGAAAGGTTTTGCTATGTGTTTGTTGCGGTTGTTGGGATTGTGAGGTAATCATCCACTGTCAGCTTCTCACCTACGACCAGATTTTTAATTCGAACCTGTATTGACAACAATTGGACTCTCTGAAGGAACTATCTCGCGCAGCGGCAGCCAGCTTTGGACAAGTGAAGAGGAATTATGTTACGTCAGGTTAGGCCATAGCCATCGATAGTGACTCGCCAGAAGCTCCGAGAGCTTGATTGGGAGGTTCTTATGCATTTGCCTTATAGCCAGGTTATGGCACCAACTGATTACAATCTGTTCATGTCTATGACCAGTGATTTTGCTGAAGAATATTTCGCCTCAAGATAAACTTGTGAAAAATCAACTGTTCCAGTTTTTTGACAAAAGGAACGAGGAATTCTCTGATAATGACAATTGAAATTACCTCCAACAAGTAAGGTAGGACTAAGTTCGAGTGTAAGCGAACATTTCATACGAAATTGCAGGAACGAATTCGATGAACCCAGTTTTCAAGTACTTTTTCCACTTCAAGTTGGTTCAAGGCAAAATCAGCAAATTCACGACGTTTACGCTTCATGGCAATGGCTTCAGTTCGTGAGTAAGAACAATTTTATATGGACCCAACCCCAGATCCTTTCTCAAAATCCGCCAGGTTGTGCTTTGAGACAGTCCCAATGCTTAAGAGCCTCTTGCAACACTTGCCTGAACGGCAGCAATATTCTCATTACTTCGAGCGGTTCTTCGTCTTATTGGCACTTGAACATTATCTTATCATTAAAAGCGCACAATAAGTTGCAATTGGAGAACGATTATTTTAATAATAAAAATAAATAATTTTTAAATCTTGTTTTTGCGTATATCTTTCCATGATGAAATTGTAAACATTACTGAAATACAATGAAAAAAAAATTACAGTTCATGACATTTTAAAAATTGCTGAAACTTAGAAATCATATCATCCCTATTGAAAAACCCGATATAAGGTCTATAGAAAGTTTGAAAGTCTCTATATTAGGTATATGGGGTATTAATTCTATTGACCGATAATTTCGGCAAAAAGTCAGCCATAGGCTCAGGGGTCCACATTTCCGGTATGTGGGTGCTTAACAGTAATGGTGGCAGTGGTCCGATTACGCCCATTAGTTTCATTAAGATATCTTAATTTTTACTCATGTTAGTGATACAAACAACCGTTAGGTGAACAAAACTATTATACTCTGTAGCAACATGTTGTAAGAGTATAAAAATGTCACATTATTGAACCAAACAGCGCATATTTGAGTTATGGGAAATCGCATAATTCTAACTATGCTAAATAAAACCTTCAATTGAATGCTAAAATTATTTTGTTTTTACTATACCTATATTTCTTTATTACATTTGAGGCTTGAACAGAATTTGAGACATGTGTATGACCACCCTGACATTATATATTTAAGACCATTCTATAGGTAGACCCACAAAAATTAATCTATTAAAAAATTACAAAATACAAAAATTAATATATTAATCTAAGATCATGACCTAAGTGATCAGAATCAATGATGAGATTTTTAGGCTTTGTTTTAGTGACATTGCAAAGCCAAATAGGGCATAGACCAGTGAGCGTAAATATCGACCTTGGCAACTAGTTTGACAGCTATCGATTTTCCAAATTCTACGACTAGTTGTGTCTATGGAAATTCACAACAGATAAACTGAAATATTGTAAAAAAAATCGCAAAATAACATTTCCCTAAATGTTTTTAAGAAGCAGCATCCCGGTAACACAAGCATAGATATGACAGATTTTTGGAACACACTTTGAAGTCACATGCCAATGAAGTCATAACCAATAAAGAATTCTCACATTGGACGAAAGAGCAGAATTCGTATATTCGAAACTAAGCAGAAATGTGAACAAAACTATTCGACCGTACGAATACTTAAACTTGTAGAGTTTGATATTCGTCCATGATAAAAGCATCTTTGACGATTTTTGCCGCTGAAAGTCATAGTTTTTAAAGAAAACTTAACAGATTTTGCTTGATTCAAATTGAACGAGAATAATGCAAAGTACTTACGGTTTCAGCTAGATGGTATATTTTATCAAATTACATCATAAATAATCATCCCTTTGAAAAACCTTTGACGTATAGGTCGTATGTTCTGGCAACATCACAATTTCAACAATTACCATTTTTGCAATGAAAATAAGTCCAACCTAAGTGATAATTATTGAAAATTGTACAACACAAATATATAATTGTACCACAGTGTTCCCGAGAGTGTGGATGGGAGTTTATAAACTATTTAGGCGTCGTAGGTTAAATTGTATTAGGTCAGAAGGCTGAATACTGAGAGATCACACTTGGAAAGTTGAGGCAAAGTTGTCCCCTGTACCAAAAGCTGCAGTCTTGAAGGATTATGTGTGATATTTTAGAACTGTTATAACTTTAATATTCAGCTTCAAATTATACCTAATCTCATAAAGATGGGAGTTTTGCAGATAAATTAGAAAATACTTAAACCAAAAAAATCTCATGTAATAATTATTTCTCATATGTTTGCAAAAGTAGACAGACTTGTTATCGGCAAATAAAACTTTTTACAATTTTCATTTTCGACTTGAGACTTTTTTGTATTTATTACATACATACATATATGCACCGTAAACGCAATTAAGTGTCAATATCAATATTTCATACCGATGACAATTTTATGGCATTGGGGGCACAACGCATTGCCATATTTGTACATGCGTTTATATATTTATATATATGTTTGTATGTATGTTACTGTATGGACAAATGTATAGGCGCGTGTACAGTGTAAGATTAATCATTGTTTTCCTGTATTTTATTAATATTTTTTACGTTCATTATTGCCAATTAGTATTTATTTCAAAGCCTTAGTATAATTTCAGCGGAATTTTCTCAAAACACATAGTAGTCACGTGCTTGAAGTGCGTCCGCTACAAAATGTATTGCAAATGGATTGCATTAATTCCAAATAATTCTAAGTCACATGTATGTACATATGTATGTGTGTATTCGATTTCTAATTAAATGCGATAAAAATTTAAATTACAATTAAGCTCTTGTAAGTAGAAAAAATAATTACATACATACTCGTACATACAAACAAGTATATATATAATCTGTTTAGAATGCCAACATATTAATTAAAACGCTTCTACAAATGCGAGTGGAAGCGGAATAAATAAGATTGCGTTAGAATAAGCCTTTGTTGGCTGCTTGTGTGGGGGTGTGTGTGTGAGTCTAACTTCTAGTATATGCATGTATATTTTTTCAATATTTTAATTTTTATATTTTTTTATTACAATTGTGAAATAGCGCATCTTCAGGCGTCTTTAATAAATATATTTTCAATTTCGTGTTTTGTTCTTGTTCTTGTTTTTGCATTTACAGCGGCCGCATATGGTGTACCGGTAATTGCAGGTAATTAATGCACAGAATCGAAAGTGAAATATCGCATCACAATTTGAATAAAATATAAATTTATTCGCCGCTCGAGCCGCCCGGATTGACAAGCGTTTCAGTTGCAGTTAAATGAGCAGGTGTGTGTGTGCGTATATGGCCTGCCGTATGCAAGCTAGACGGTCAGTCGATGAGCGTGTTGTCCACCCGCTTCTCCTACAGCATCCACCCCTCCCTGAATTAAACAGCCGACGAGACAGCAATACAGGTATTCCAATGCGAATTCAATACATACATACATATGTTTGCACACACCCACACACATACACATATGTACATACACATATGTACATTCATATGCTTCATACACTTTTACATAAATACCGCGTGTACTTGAGCTAATCTGGGGTTTGTTGTGACTGCTGACATTTCGTTTCGCTTGCGGCGAGTGCTGAGAGAGGTTGCATTTGATTTGTTCCCTCCATCGTTTTGTGCTTGCTCATGCTCCACGTCAGCTGTTCACGTCTACTTGTTGTTTGTTTATGAGCGCTTGGCTGTCAGCCGACATTAAAGCTTTGCTTAGAGATTAGATTTGCTTCTTCTTTTGTATATAATCCTTATATATCAAACAATTAGCAATAATGATAGTATTCCATTACGTTATATGACGCGCGTGTGTATGTATGTGTGTGTATTCCACAGACAGTTACCTATGTCGATAAATGTTTTTATAATTTTAAACCCAATTTTTATCTCAAGAACGGGCCAGAATGACGCCACGTACTGAATCCATTATATTAAATCAGTTTAATCGGGTTTGAAACTACCCTCCAGATAGAACTCGTCATGGAAATATTGGTTACCAGTGTAACTACAAGTATGTTACCGCGTAGCTGTTCGTTTACAATATTTCATGCTTTTTATGAATATCCACATTGAAATGCATAGAAACGGAGTCAAGAGGTTGTATATAAGTTTCATTTACACATGCTGGATTTAGAAAATTTTGTGATACCATAAACAATGGGACTATAGTTACATAACTTTTAGAAATCATTTTTTTTGCATTGAAAAGAATGCTTTATTAGCTTAGTTGGAATGCATTCAGGTTAAAAATCACCATTTTGTTCTTCATAAACTTGTTTTGAGACAGATTTTTTTTAAGAAAAATCATTTGTTATATACAGAAACATGACAGGTAGTAACCACATTGTGCCAGGTCCAGACTACAAGGTAAATGCATAAGGATCCACCAAGCAAGCTTCTGGCGAGTCACTATCGATGTGGCATTGCATTGTTCTGATGACAAAAAATTACTCTCCTGTTGGCGAAAGCTGACTGCTTATGGGCAATGCTTATTTAAGACGGTTCAATTATTGATAGTACAGACCCGAATTAAGATAATAATAATATGGTTAACACCTGGACAATCGTACCAGTGCCTTCATGACGGATGGGCTCGATATTTTCGACAGTAGGCTTTCCAGAGTGTGGTTAATCTTTGATACCCTAAACGATCAGCATCATAAACACTATTCAGCTTGGTTTCCGTCTGCGCCTTAATTGATGAGACAAAACTGTCTGAGAAGTTTTTTAGTACGAAATCTTATCTTTCTAGAGCCAAATAGCGTAACACGATTGCACTTCTACAATGCGAGTTAAAGATTAGATAAAAGTCATCAAAGTTTTAAAAATATTAGATTTTTTCTATTAGACCTTATACCTATACAAATAAAGTATATATATATATATATATATCTCAACGAAATATCGATATTTATTTATTGTAAGAACAACAAATTCGATATTTTTGGCTGTTAAATTTGATTATTTTGAACGTGAATGACTAAGCTGAATATTTTTTTATAGCTTGTGAACGCAACTAAAAACAAATATTCATAAATGTTTTGTGTTATTAGTATATCACAATGGTGGCAAATAACATCACGTGACGTGTCTTTTTATTTATTTTTTTTTTGATATTTTTTGTGAAATGCTATTTCCTTGATTTATCGTTAAAATATTTAAACAATCAGTCGTAAATAAACAATCGAATATATAGACATTGTTTACTCTGCATATATCGATATATTTAAAATATATCGTAAATATTTCCTAAATATAATATACAAGATAACTTCTGATCTATTTGTTTGTAATTATATATTTTATATGCTATTGTTTCCACAATTATCCTTTTTGACTTATATACATTAATATGAAGTAAACCCGATCCAAGCAGTTAAAAATTATATGATTAAAATATAATAAAAATATAAAACATCTATTTCGCATGTCTGCTACATTTGTGTATTCGGTTTTGCAAAACTCCCATTAAAAGCACGTAAGACCCGTAATTCTGTCACACAAAATTCGTTAAAATATATGATATTTTTATTTATAGTTTAGAATACAAATAACGATCATAAAAATGTTTTCACTTTTTTTTTGCTCATATTTTTTAAAGCCAATGACGTCTAGAGTCAAAGATATGATATTTTAATGCAAATATAATAAGACAGGCTAAACTTTCAAAAAAAAGCATATTAAGAAGAAAAAAAGTTCAAGTTGATCAAAATTAAGAAAAAGAACGCATGGAAACGTAATCAAGCAGGAAACGTAAGTGTCGTAATCGTTGACTTAAGAAACGGCGCAATTTAGTTTAAATTTATTCTTTATATAATATTATATTCTATGTTGAGTCACACTAATAATTGTCTCGCTTAAGCCGGAATGTACAGTAGTGTTAGTATTGGGGACACTTTCGCCTATTGGTACAGCAGACCGTTGTTTGCCAGTTCGGATTAGTTCTCGAAATCGTCAAATTTACCTATGAACTGTGCTTTAGTCTTGATTAAACGCGTCGAATTAAGACGTACAGTTATAGCTAAATCCAATTAAACTTAGTGAGGTCAACTTGTAAATATTTGTTTTAGTCAGCTAGCAGTGTTAAGGATAATATATTTTCAGAAATTTTGTACAACATTATCTCGAAAAACCACTCCATTCTCTAACTATACCTGAGTATCGTGCACACCAAATATAATTTGTACCAACACAGTATAAATTTTCTTGTGAGAACTGTTCTAAAAGTTTCAAGCATTTATTTTATATTCGATTTTTTCTAAGAACGATATAATATGCGACATTGTATCATTTTGAGTTATTTGTATCGAAACTTTCATATATAACTAGTCATCTATAATCTCAAAAAATCTTTTAGTACTAGTAAGAAAAAGTTAGAATAGTTAAAAGTATTTTAAGAACTGGGAAACTTAAAGGATTTGAAAATTAAAAGTGATTTAGTTCTCGCTTCGGATGAAACATTTGTAAGAAAATTTAATTCTGTTAATTGCTGTGATTGTTTGGCTCAAAAGTAGTTCACAAACCAGGTTCAGTTGATATTATTCTTATTTCACAAGTTTTTCTATATAAACGTATTGATTTAATCGGATTAATATGGGTTTGAAGTTTACATTGGCCTTCAAGTCTAATATTTACTATTTCTGCAACAGTCGCGTCGATAAGCGTCTCTCTTATCTCTATAATGCTATAAAAGCAACTCTCGCACCTAGCTCTAATTGCCTCATGACAAATACCTATGTTAAGGTACGATTTGATTTGAAGTCTAAACCTGCATTTTTGATACGACTTATAACTGACAGTACATATTCTATAATTCTGTAATACTAGTACCGAATTTCTTTACATTAAGAAACACACATTTTGTTGCAAGTAAGTTACTAAAAAAAAACTGCAAATTGTTTATTACAAATGCATGGATTTTTTGTCGCTCTTATTTTTAGAATATTCTCGCTATAATTGTTCCCGCAAAAGAACCTAAGCAAGTACTAAATATGTATTGTACTATGACATATTCACTCCATAACGTTTAGCTAATTCTTATTCAGCTATCTTCATATATTACTTTATATATACATTATTTTTTGTTCGAATTGTATTTATATATGTGATTAGCTTAATTTGACAAAAATTCCAAACAAGTATTTTTTGATGGGTTCCATAGGTTATATTTCTATATGTATTGTATGTACATATGATTATGAAGCGGCAACAAGAACAGGCATAAAAAATTTGACATGAAAGGCACAAAAAACCAAAAATTAACAAATGATGAAAACGAATTAAAATCATTAAAAACGAGTTTAGAATTGTTGTAGAAGTGCAGCGTCAGCGTCGGCACTAATTCAAAATTTTAGTATAATAAAAACCAAATTTATTTCAAACATATGAACTTGTTTTAACACAAACCTTTTTTAAAACATGTATAAAAATAATATTTTTGAACTACAATACGTGAAAAAAATATATAAGCAAACTAGTGGCAGTGGTCATAATTTTTTGTATTTTTTTTTTGTTTGTGGGCAGATGCATCTTAAAAACTAGATTTGTTTGGAAGCGACTGCATTTGTTTTATTTTGCAAATACAAAAGTTGTTCATGTGTTTCATTTATATTGCATTACGATTTTATAATTAAATATTTAAATATTTAGTTTGCAGCAAACAACCTGTATGTTTAGAGGTTAGTTTTTTGCACCAAACTGTATGTCGGCTTTTCACTAGGTCACTTATATGAACAAAACTTGTATATATACTAAAAAACAAATTTTTTTTGAACATTCGATTTAATGCTATAGTAATTACGGTAATTTTTCATTATGTATTAATAATTTGTAAGTTTTTTATTTTGCATATAATGCCTTTATGAAAGCCACACATTACTCCCTCTCCCAATCAAATAGAGATTTTGCACCCGTAAGACCCGCCCACAACATGTCAACCTTTTCGGCTTTACTATACGCACTTTTTCCGCATATATAACAACAAAAAAAATAGCAAAAACAATATAAACAAAAACCTAAGAGTTTATAAGCAAAAAACTTCTGACTGAAAAGCATCAAGTCATCTCAACTTGATCCATAAATCAAGCATCCAGCGAGCGAGTATCCAACTCACTTACAGAGTTCTTTTGTTTCGGTTATGTGCGCGTCAAGCTTTTTTATGTTTCTTCTTAACTATTCTTTGCTTAGTTTCAGTGGGTTCTAGTGGTCATCAAATCATGATTTTTATGGTTGGTTTAATGGAAATTTGATTTGATATAAAATGAATAGCCACGCCCTCTTCACTCTGTGAACTAAACTAGTTTATACAAGCGTTAAATTTTTTTCTTCTATTTTTGAATTTCTTATTGCATTTTTTATATTTTTGCGTAGTAAAAAATTGATTTCTTTACAATTATTATTATA